TTTAATTACTCTTGGACGATCATTCTCAAATTCATCTGCATTTCTGTTGTTGACGTATAGTGCTGGAGATGGTGAACTGGGTGCAAAGAATTTAAAGGCGTATTTACCGGTCAAAAATAAGAAATCTTTTTTCATATAGTCGTATGTTCTAACTTGTTTCGTTTACTAGATACAGGGTGTAAAAGTTTTTTTAAAAATTATTCAAAAACCTTTCAGCCGATTTAAATAAAATTTTGTAGGATTATTTGTCGGCATAAGGGCCTTCCTTTGGTGGACATAAAATAAATAAAAACTGACTTAAAAAAAAATTGTTGCACGAAGCACGTTAGGACATACGATTGTAGTTATAAAAAAATTTCTCATTTTTGGCTTGAAAATACTCAATCTTGAATCACCCTGTATAATTAACCGGCTCATAAACCTACGATGCCTTTCGATACGCGTACCTACCCCAACTGAAACGGCGATTACACATTTTCTCAGTGCATAGAGCGCACAATGGACCGTAGGAGATTACGTGTAGCGTGGTTGAAACAAATTACTCGGTTGTTTACGTTTATGTTGTCTTGTACGTACATTAAGCACAAAAAGATTTTAATGGAAAAAAACCCCTTGCGCTCGAGGGCGGTCGACAAGAACTTTATGAATATGAAATGCCGTTCTTTAATGCGAGTTACATTAACTTTTATGTGGCATACAAAGTGAGTTAAAATTTTATATTGCGAACTCGACGTTACGATTTTGGTATTGCGAGACAATAAAGAATGCAGTTTAATCCTACGAAAACGGAGTGCCCTGTTAAGTGCCGAGCTTGAAATTTAATGAGCGAATGTGAGCGTATGATTAAAGGAATTACCCATCAAATCGAAGTTATCGTTCTGGATTGCAGTGGTATCGCATGGTACTGGAAGCAATAACACCCCCGAAAATCCATTTAGACCTTCTCGAGAAGGCGATGTTTTGGTTTGGCCCGCGCGAAAGGAGTACGTGTCACTTGATACTCGAGTTTGACGATATCCGGATCGACCGGTGCTTCAACTGCCAAAAATTCGGTCACAACTCTTCCGATTGCTGTAGTGACTTCAATGTGGTCCGCTTCGCAGGTAGACATGATAGCAAGGACCTGGGACTTTTATTATACCACAAGCGCTCCTTCGTCAAGCATTGCTCTCAAGAAGTCGAAAAAGATGCTTCATCCATTTTACAAATACACGGGTCCAAAATGCAATTTCACAAAGAAGTTACTTCTAGTATAAAAACAGCCACGTCAATCATGGCAGGTAGCCGCCCACTGTAAAACTGGTCGCCTGTGAGGTGTACACAAATGATGCTATTATATTTTAATCTCTATCTAACCCATGTGAAGAAAAAGACATAAGCTTTACATTGGGCGGTTACCTGTGACTGTTTTTATACTAGACGGCGACGTATAGCGTTGATTTTCAACTGTGCAAGCTTGAACATTTGATTTAACAGACTCCGACCTCTCTTTCTTTTCAGCCACTAAGTGGAATTTGGTCCTGGGTGAATGGCAACGGTCGTGGGACGCAACACCCACGCCTTAATCCTTAACATACAGAAACGGTTACACCAAAGTTATGTCCCCGTATACACGGCAGTCCCAATCCTCTCCTCGCCCGGAGGATTTAGGTGTCATCGGAAGCGTATCGCGGTTTCCGATAATGATCATTGTCCGGCGTGTGGGGTCTCCCCCATCTCCCGAAAAACAATAGTGTTCGTGCTCCTTTGTTGATCCATCACATCATCCTAGATCTGGTCCCCGATGATAATGTCCTATGTGTGTTTGTGTCTTAAGTGCTATTATTTGCGCCAGAGTCAAATCAAATCTTCCCAAAGTAATTTGAAGTCTCCTTTCAACTTTATTTTGAGAAAATCTGTACCAGAAACATTCTTCGGAATCACAACAAAATCATTCAAAGAAATTATCTCCAAGGATCGTTCTCATTAGAGGTCTTGCTAGATATCTTAAAGTACTACAACATCCACTTTTATAACAATCTTTTACAACACTTCTTTCTACAAGAACTTTACAACCAACAAGACTGACAGTCTTCCACAAAAAGAAAACTATCATGTCAATGAACCTAGCAGAGCAAGGTCAGCAGGCCACAATTAAATATATTGCATAATTACGCTAATTAAATGCCCTATTTCCGAATTAAATCTCCTTTTTTTAATTATTACATGTTCTGACAGGTTCATATGAACTCAGCAGAGCACTACCTCAAAAAACCAATAAAATGAAAAGTGAACTGACTATAATTAGGTGCCAATTAGGTGCTAATTAAGTGCCCTATCCTCGAATTAAATGCTACTTTTTTTTTAAATTATTACATGTCCGGCCAGGTTCATATGAACTCAGCAGAGCACTACCTCAAAAAACCAACATGAAAAGGGAACTAATATAATTAGGTGCTAATTCTGTGGTAATTAAGTGCCCTATCTCCGAATTAAATGCTCCTTCTTTTAAAAATTATTACATGTTCTGCCAGGTGCATATGAACTCATAAGAGCACTATCTCAAAAAACCAAGAAAATGAAAAGTGAACTAACTATAATTAGGTGCTAATTAAGTGCTCTATCCCCGAATTAAATACTCCTTTTTTTTAAATTATTACATGTTCTGCCAGGTTCATAATTTAAAAAAAGGAGCATTTAATTCGGGAATAGGACACTTAATTAGCACCTAATTAACATCTAATTATGCAATATGTTTTATTGTGTTCTGCTGACCTTGCTCTGCTAGGTTAATGGACATAAAACTATCCAAATAGCCCCGATTAACGTTTTCCTGTCTTATTTAAAACATTCTTCCCTTCTTAAAGCGTTCTTTGTCACAAATTGTCAACGTTCTGCAATCAAATTCACTTTAGTCAACAGAAAAACTTTCGGCGGGCGCTCCTACTCGTATCAATTACTTTGTGTTCTCCAATAACTAACAGGTTTATATTCAAATTTATTAGCTTGCACGGAGCGATAACGAACCCCTTATCGCAAAACCGAATTTCGATGAGATAAATTTAAAAAAAAACACAACACAATTATCTCCAGATGTCCCTAACATTGATTAACATAGTCTAACTTTACAATAAATCAAAACAAAACCCAACGCGATTATTTAAACAAAATTAAGAATCTTATAATTCTAATACTAATAATTGACAACATGATGGAAATTGTGTTCAATCTAAACAAGCGACCACATTTAACCTCAACAAATTGATATTTACATTATATAGGATGACCCATGATTTTGGATGTCTTGATGAGCCTTTAATTGTCTTCAGGGGCTTTGGAACGTTTCAAAGCACACTTAATAATATTTATTAACGTTTTCCAATAGGTCCCTCAGAAGATGTTGGTGCATCCCTGTTGAAACGGATCCGTTGGGTTGGGTCTGGAGACACTGCCACGGGTTGTAGTTGTTAAATTGAGTAGCGTCAAAATAAACGAATTTTCCTCGTGTTTTATCTTCAATACAGGCACAGATTCTGATAAAGGCTACCGGATGCAGGTATAGGAATTACAGGAAACTTTCTCCGCAACTTAAATTTCTGGTCTTCACTGGACTCCGACACAAGTGCATATAACCCAGACCCTGGCATACTTGAACTGTATAGAATATTGCCTTTCTGGTTCCCAAACAAGGTCGGCAAAGAGTTACCTGGCTAAGGTCTTTAAAGGAAACTTCCATACGGGATGATGTGTTCTGGTCGGTAAGAGGTACAGGAATTAAGCTTTTCAATGTTTTAACAACCACACTTTTATTGGGACGTGGAGAATCACAAAACTAGTCAGAGATTGAAAAGGCATTTAATTTCAAAGGACACGCGACATCTAACGGAGGAATTTTACAACATACAATGCAGGATGTTTACAAAATTTTGACTTTACCATAATAACGCCGCCACTATTTCTTCTTTAAGAGGGGGATCATCATCCACTGTCTTTCACAAGGACCCGCTGATGTGAACGCCTCTTTTGGTCTGTACAAACTTTATGACAGTAGAAATGATTTTGGTAATTTCGTAAAGGTCCAGAATACTTTGAGGTGAGCTTTCTCATTATGCCGCTACCCTTATCTTCCTTGAGGGACCTCAAGCGGTTTTACCTTGGGGGCGAAGCAGGAAAGAGCCCGTACAGTTCTCCGTTCTGGATTTGATAGCTAGGCTTATTTTCCGGATGAGTTTGTATGCTATTTTTAATTCACTTTTCTCTTTAGAACAATAGCATGCTCGATACCAATTGTACGCCAAGGAGCGGTTCGAAACTAACTCAGTTCTTGCTCCAGGAATTAGTTTAATCTGTGCAGCTGGTGCGAGATTAAGAAGAGATTTAATTTCAAAGGATGGAGACGACAATAGGCGACATCTAACGGATGTTTACGAATAAAATTTTGCCGTTAGCACTTGTATATTTCCTGATGAAACTTACCATAAAATAATAATGGATGGAGACGACAACAGATGGCATCTAACGGAGGAATTTTACAACACATAATTCAGAATGTTTACGAATAAAATTTTGACGTTTATCACTTGTGTATTTTCTTACACCGTTGTTTTAGCGCCTTTAGGTACTTTAAAAACGTTTTGGTCTTTAGACATTTTTAGGAAAGACCGTCTCCGAAGACGCCGATACGGTCTTTACTTTTAGAACCACTGAAATCCTCTTTCTTTAAGACCCGATATTTTTGTAGAAATTCGACAACTCTCAACAGTCTTAGGTTTTCAATTTTCTAATTTGAGAAGTAAAATGGTTCAATGACATTCTGGCATTAACCGTTCGAATACAGTATAATTAAACAAACTAAGTTAGTAAGAATGGCGTCTTAAACCCGAGAAGGCTGTTAACTTTGATATTCGTCTATAAAGACGATGCTCATGGAAAATCGATGCAATTTACGACCCGAAAAATAACTTCTCCGATAAGTAACGGCCGTTTAGAGCGTAATTATGATTTACATTGCGGGCACTTACCTATTTTAATGACGGGCGGCAAGCTATGTACATAACCGAGCAGCCAGGCGAGCCATACAAGGGCCCACCAGCTGCCCAACCGCATGGCTCATGGCGCTCTGTCCGGCCAATTCAGCCACATTTCAACGGATCTGTAACAGCAAGAACGCAAACATTAAATTTTTACGATCGACTATGGTTTATTACAGACAAATGTTACGGAACGAGTCCGTAAAATTATATTTTATTCCATCGAGCGGAAACGAATTAGTAGTAACGCAGAGACAGAGAGAAGGTGAGTTTACGATCTCGAAGTAACAACCCCGCTTTATTGAATAATGAAGTCCTACAATTTTGAGTTATTGACTTCGGCGATGTTACCGTAAATTTCATTATCCTCCCTCGTTGCACTCGAGCGAATTACTGAAACTTTATCGTTTGATGGTTACAATTTCGCTTCGCCCGCATCGTTTTGGGTTTGCGGCGAGGGAAAAAATCGATCCAACGGCATTTTTACGGAATTCGGGTGACTCGTCGCGAGGGTCGCAAACTTTTAGATTTAATTCGGAGAGAGGGGCGATTTATTGAGGTGCTCAACCACATGATTGCTGTGTCTGATTTAATGAAACTCTGATTTAGATAGTCTTGATATTTTAATGCCGTCGGAATGTTAAGGGCAACTTTTATCTAACAAGAGGATTTATATTATGGCTACGTGTGGAATTTAGAGAAACCCTTTAAGGGTTGTAAAGTACGTACGTAAGCTGTTACCACCGTTGCATTTGCAATGTGTGATAAAATTATATTTTGATTAATTGGAAAAGAAATGGGATGAGGAATTCCAAATTTGCAACTCGTCTGGTACTGACATGGCAAAGGGAAGCAAGAGAAAAGTGAAATCGAAAGAGGGTGGGATGGCGATATGAATGAAGGAAAAGGCAACATAAAAAAAATGCTTGACTCATAGATGATCCTTTGTTTGTGGGATGAGTCACGGTAATATTGTTGTTAGATTAATCGCGGTAGTGATTTTTCCGATGGCTGAACATTATTGTCCATTAGTGATGGTGACATGGGTTTCATTAGGCATTAGGCAAGTTTCCAAAAATTCTGTAGTACTGGGGAACCTATCAATGTAGACACGCTCCGGAATCTAACAATTCTAGTAAGGAATAATCCAAAACAGTAACTTGTAGGTATGGACGCTCTCCCTTTGGATGCGCAACTATATAATCCAGCAAAATTTTGTGAGGGGGTTACGGAGAGGTGATTTTTGTCAGACCGGTTGGTGCTGCACCCCCGAGGAGGACGTACGGTCATTTCGTTCCTCGGTCGTTCGTTTCCCCAACAATTACGGCATTCCCAAACAATTAGGTCGGGTGTTCCACACTTATAGCAATGCCAACGACGTGGCTGAGCGCAGTTTTGCTATAATGTGCCCTGATTTTATGAGGAAAATTGTATGGGCAGTGGATACTAAAACTTAAGGGTTGATACTCCAATTGGGCCTGCTTGAATGAATTGAGCCTATGCCATCAGACCCTAGGGGCTGGTTCCTTTAGATACTTGAACCTTCTAGGTCAGTAAATATTTTGTACGTTCTCTTGATCATCTAGGACCATGGTACATGCACTAAACCGTCAGCAAGTCCGAGATATAAGGCGTAAGTAAAGCTAAACCTTCCTGTCATGCGAAAAGTTTCATAGAATAAAGTATATTTCACATGATGTAAAAATTGTATAAATAAACAAGGGTATAAATGCACATTTAAATATAGTTCAGTATTTCAACCGCTTCCGAAATTGATACAATATCAACGTGAGTGTAGATGTACGCGAAGAGGACTAGACAGAACAGCACCCAACCGATACATATCGACCACACGTATACGCTAAAATTAAGAGAATCTGCAGAACCCGATTGAAAAACGAGTAACTCACGTGTCACGAACCGTTCCTCCTTCCTTTTTGGCAAATTCTACCATAAATTTGTCACCACTAGACATTTTCGTTTGTACTTGTCATTCTACAACGGTTGTCAATATTTTAATTTACTTGCTCTCTCTGACGATCTAGGTGGCGAATTGTTACCACCGAAACTACCCTGTTTAAAAAGTACGTGGTGATCATCTAAAAGAGATTTTAGGGGACTGGAGTCTATTATTTTTGGTGTGTAGTTTTTCCACCAACTTTTATGGCATGGCAATGATACATTGCCAATCCGTGTGGATTTTTTTTATTAATTCGGACAGCTAACCATTCCCACTATCTTCATGTAGATAGGCCGAAATTGCTACTTTCATTCGGTCTCGAGACGTATGGGAAGAGATCTCAAACTCGAACACGTTTGGAAGCGCCATTACATCATGGAAAAGCAAGGGTTTCGAAAAATTTAGATATCTCTGGTGAATTTATTATTAGAGACTCGTTATACTTGAAGCGTCTTCTATCTATGGAACAGTTAATTGCCTGGAGAATAAAATTTTGTTAACAGAAGAGCCAAGAAAATCGTTGGAAATTATTTTCAAGTTTTCAGGCTTGGCTAAATAGAAAAGTTTTTTTCTAAAATGTACCCGACAAACATACATCGCAATGTTTGTATGAATTTTGTATCATTTTGATGCAGCATGTTACTTTCTTTTCCCTTACCAATATAAATTCTTTACGCCATCTAGGTATTTCTTTCGTAAACCCATTTAATAAGATGTAAATTATTCCTGTAGCCAATTTGTTATTACTCTAGTTGTTTGTTTTACCTCCAGAGGCCATCCAAGTGTAGATTTCTTAATGCAATAGTTCTTTGTTTCGCCGCCGGAGGTCGTAAAAATGTTTTCCATATTATTTCGAATCCTATCCCTTCTTTTCTTTCTGCTTACGTATTCGCTGTACTTCATTTAAGATTCTGCCGTCATATTGATTACATGATTGTCGTTTGGCATTCCCTCTTTGATATCTGTCGCTGTGCTCCATTGACGCGCGTAGGCGGACTTGTATTTCAAACTAATCAGTGCGCGGTATGTTGGAATCAGGTTTACCATTTTTCTTATCACGGGTTCCTTTTAGGGCTTTATCTTCCCTGAACTCTCAAGCTTTTCCCCAACCTTTCCTCACAGTTTTCTTCTAAGTAATAATCGTTTTCTCTTCTGGATTACTTTAAAGCCATTTTCACATAATTGGTCTTATTGGAAAGAGCTTTCTACGTGTAATCAGATTTTACATGAATAGAGTCACCTTAGTAAATGTGATGAGTGGTAGAGGGCGCGGTTTGACATAATAAACTTTGCAGGTTTTCTTGAAAATTTCAATTGAAACAATATAATTATTATATGATACTATTAACTAAGATCAAAAAGTGAAAATATCAGTGAAAACCGCATTTTGCTGTTGGTTTTCTACGCACATTTTACAAATAATTAATAATAAATTTATAACTGTTTTGAAATGACTTCATCTATCACAGCGCGAAGTATTTATTACTTTAGTGTTGAAATTGGAACTGTCTTAAAACGCAATTCGATTTGCTTATACAGCAAACTTGAGCGTCCTCGAGTGTTTCCGAACGCTCTCGAATATTCTAGAATGTTCTAGAACAAATCACGTCATACTTCCCGGATAGATTGCGTTACATTGGAATATTCGCTACACTATTTCTATAAAATCTGAAGAGAGCTTTTTCCGATTAGACCATTTTTTGAAAATCGGTCAACCTAAATGTAAGTTACATTCAACTGCTTAACAAGATGTTCTTCTCCCACCTTTCATAGTTTATAAGTTAGCGCAATATGTGCTACATCAAAATGTTGCAAAATGTTGCAATGCATGTATTGTTTATGCATGCTTCTTGGGTACATTTTAGGGAAAAAAATCATGTATCGTACACACTCTAGCGGCAAACCTAGAAACTTAAGCAAAAAAAACTCAAGCGTAAGAGCGACGGAGCAAAAAAGCTGACGAGCGACGGAGAAGGGGGTGAGCTAGCGAAAAACTGAAAAACGCAAAAGCGAAAGAGCGAAAAAACAAAAGAGAGATTGGGCGAATATATCGAAAGAGCAAAGGATTAGAAACAGTTATAGAGAGTAGAGGCTTGTTCAAAGTAGGAACAGTGAGCAGCGCGTCGCGTTGGCGTCGCGTTGGCATTGTGTTTATGTTGCGTTGGCGTTGGTTTTGCGTAGGCGTTGGCGTTGCGTTGGCATTGTGTTTATGTTGCGTTGGCGCAGGTTTTGCGTTGGGTTGGCGTTGCGTTGGCATTGTGTTTGTGTTGCGTTGGTGATGCGTTGGAATTGCGTTGGTGTTACGTTGAGCATTGCGTTGGCGTTGCGTTGGCCTTGGTTTTGCGTTGGCGTTGGCGTTGCGTTGACATTGTGTTTGTGTTGCGTTGCGTTGCGTTGGCGGTGCGTTGGCGTTGTGTTGGCGTTGCGTTGAGCGTTGCGTTAGAGTTGTGTTGACCGTTGCAAGGAAGCGATAGTCGTAAAGAGTAAAGATCAAAGAAGCCAAATAGCGAAAAAATAGCGGAAGAGAAATAGGAGAATAGAGCGACAAATCGTAAATACTATCATGTGAACGAGCTTCATAGCGAAAGAGCGACGGTTCGAAGGACTAGTAGGACGGTATAGCGATAGAACGATAGAGCGATAAAGCGGAAACGCTATAGCGCGAAAATTGGAAGAGTGATAGAGCGATAAAGCGGTAACGCTATAGCGCGAAGGGTGGAAGAGTAATAGAGCGACGGAGCGAGATAGAGAAACAATGAAAAGGACAAAAACCATTGGAACGAAGGAACGAATGGGTGACTCACCAAAACAGCAAAAAAGCGAAATGATGGAATAACGAGAAAAGAGGTAGATCTAAATAGCAATAGAGTTCTTCTGCCCCCCCCCCCACTATTTATTTTTTGTCTGTTCTTACCTCCGCTTCTAAAATGATCTCTACCGGCTGGAAACCCAACTACGCCCTTGTTCATACCATGAATTGTTTTACTCTTTCAATTCGTTTTAAATTTGTATCCCGTGTATGTACATTTTCCCTATTTCCCACCCTTTATGTTTCCGTTCATTATATTCTATGTTTTCTATTCCTTTGTCCTAAATCCTTGATATCTTTGCTGTTGTAATTGGTTTTTACTATTATACTTATTTTCCTATATTTCCTCGCAT